GCCGGAATTACAGGTATGTGCTACCACGCCCGGCTGATTTTCTGATTTATTGTAGAGATGGTCTCGCCGCCCAGGTGGGTCTTGAACCCGCAGGCTCAGGCAATCCACTCACCTCAGCCTCCCAAAGGCGCGGAATTACAGGCTGAGCCACCGAGCCCGGCTCACAACTGCCTTTTAACGAGATGCCCGGCTAGCTGGTAAACTTGAACTGAATTTGATCACTGTAAGGCCACAGAGAGGGCTTTATCCCAGAGCTGCCCCAGGGGTGATCTGTGAAACACAGTCACCTGATTCTACTGGAAGGCAGGGGCTTTCCTGCAATGGCACATAGACCGTTGAGACCTCCTGCTTCTCCTATCCAGTCTCCTCTGACTACCAGCAAAAGTGTTGGCCAACTTGTTACAGAACAAGGCCCAGGTGGGGCGACTCTTGGAGGGACTCTCTCCCGGCCACAGGCGGTGAGCCCTCACCCTGTTGAACTGGGCCCAGGACACGGACATGCCGCTGTAGTCCTCCAGGTGGCCGCTGTTGTTGTTGAACAGCTTCTGCGCCAGGAACACGAGGTTCTCCTTGGTCAGGCCGCGGTTGCTCTGCACTTCGGCCTTGAACTTCATGTTGAGCGCTTCGCACAGCTGCGGCCACAGCACTTTGTCAGGCACGGCAAATGGCACCCTGCCCTGCGAGGGCGAGAAGTCAGAGGTTTAGGAGACAACAGTTGCATGATGCAATTCCTCCAGCCACGAAAGGAGAACATCACGGCTGGAAGAGATCACAACCATCTGTCGTGCAGAGCCCGAGGGTAAATGCAGACTGTTCTGGGGGTAGGTAGGTTGGCCAAGTTCACTAGAAGGTAGCCAGATGCTATTCATGCTGCTCTGAACACGAGCTGTGAATCCACAGTCCAGCCCTGTGCCCTAATAGCCACGAAAACAAAACATCACCAAGGTCTGGCTCCTCTACTGTAAGCTCCTTGGGGATTCAGATCTAAAAGCCTGGCACTTTAAGTACAGCGAGAGAATGAATGTATGTCTGTGTGTGTACACGTGCGAGTGTATCTGTAAACAAGTGTAATACTTGCCGCCCTTGACTCTTGCCAAGAACATCCAGCTCAATGTGAAACAACTTAGTATGAAAGAGTGGAGATTTTGGCCAGGCCTGGTGGCTCAAGCCTATAATTCCAGCACTTTGGGAGGCTGAGATGAGAGGATTGCCTGAGTCCAGTGGTTCGAGACCACCCTGGGCAACTTGGAGAGACCTCACCTCTATAATTAATCAAATAATTAGCCAGGCATGGTGGCGCACGCCTGTAGTTCCAGCTACTTGGAAGGCTGAGGCTGAAGGATTGTCTGAGCCCAGCAAGTCAAGACTGTGATGGCCGTGAGTATGCCACAGCACTCCAGCCGGGGTGACAGAGTGAGATTCTGACTCAAAAAAAAAAAAAAAAATCTCACCTTTGCAGCAAAATATTGTTCTCTAGAGAGGATGGCTAGGAATGTTAAGACTGCTCACGATGACCATAGAGAGAAATATGCTTCTATGTCCTAACGAATGCCACCCTTTTATCATGCTACAATGAGCTCATCTCTCTTGGAATGTGCAGCACACAGGCCTTGGTCTATAGAAATGTTCTGAAAATGCTCAGTATGCCCTGAGTGCTAGTGGACTCAGAGAATACTCGGGTGCTAAGTTCATAAAATTTTATCTGTTCCTTGAGAACAAGCATCTCATCTTCACAAGAGACCTGGAATGAATCATAGAATCTCTAGTCTGCAAAAGACACTGACACTATGGCAGGGAGAGGACACATTCTCAGCCCCAGTGACCTCTCAAGAGCCCCGATTCCACTCCTGGTTTCAGGATTCAAAAGAACATTTATCAAGTATTGACTCCACAACAAGCATTTTCTGTTATTTAATTCAGTCTTCCTATCAACACCATCACGATCCCTATGCTGCAAACATTTGCTGGAAACCCAGGCTCAGAGAGGTACAGTGAACTTTCTGAGGTCACAGGTGAGGAATTGGCCACACCTGGACTCAAGACCTGGCCTCAGTCAAGCCTGGGCCCTTTCTACTCTCCATGCTCTTTCTATTCTGCCTCTGCTGTGGAAAATGTCATTTTTACCTATACTTTTTTGGGGATAATACATGGAAGAGGTTTGTGATGCCAGCATTGACCTTGAGACCCACATGCCAGGAATCCACTCACAGGCTCTGCGAAAGCGTTGTCCCAGAGAACAGTAGCTGTTGCGTTGTTGTCCTGGCTGCCATGAACAATCACCACCACAGGCAGGGACAGGGTCTAAAAAGACATGGGAAAGAAGGACTGAGTGCCCATAGGCACAAGTTCTTCCCCGTCAACACTTTCGTCTTCCAGGTTTAACTTTCACCATCAGACACAAGTACGAATCCCTCCTAGAATGAAACGACTTTCCACACTGGTACAATCTTAGAGATTTTAAATATTTTGCAGGCAGTATTGTTGAGGTATTTCTGAAGGTTGAAGTAAGTTTTTCAGAATTACAAGGAGAACAAGAGAAAAAGAGAAAGTGGCTGGAGACATTTCTGGGAAAAATAAACACAAGTAAGCAATGTTTGAAACTGACTATAACCTTTTCTCAAAATCACCCTGAGAAATGATCCTCGTTTTCACCCATCCCTCTGGCTATTTCAGTTTGTCACTGTTTGTTCGTGCCTTATGAGAATCTAAGAGATAGAGTTCTGAGGATGAGGTCACCCTGTTTTCTGTTTCTCAATAGTCAGAAAGATGCTACATGATAAAAACAGCTCCTTTGTGACAGAGTGCACAACACACACACACACACACACAGAGCAGGTATGGCTTTACCTTGACTTGAAAAACCAGCTCATTTCCACCAACACTGAACTGTGACTCAAACAGGATTGTAAACTTTTCTTCTGTCACTGACTCTGCCCCACGACGGTCAGACCTCTTGATTCGTTTTAGGGACTGCAGAGGAGAAACATGAGATGAGACATCAGATAGGAGTTGTTCCCCTTGAAGGACCAGGACGAGTCCCCTGTTTCTCTCCCCTCACCATGTTCCTGAAGTGGGCGCTGAGGGTGCCGGTGGCCTGGTGATACTCCATCACGCAGCAGTTGTTCAGAATCTCACCACTGCACTCGCTGCAAAGACAGAGCCCAGCTCGACACCATGCCAGGACCAGACATGGGAGAAAGGACTCGTGTGGGTAGGAGGGGACAAAGACGTCTGCTAGAAATGCATGTCACTCAGGGGGAGTGCCAGCCATATAAGATGACAAGTCATTTTCTCAGATACATCCCAACTAAATGAAACAAGGTAACAGCATCTTTATGGCAGGTAGTGCATGGAAGAACCCCTTAAGATCCCTTGAGACCAGAAAAGGCTGGAATGAGGAATAGGATGCTTCCTCCTACTGCCAGGACTCAAGCCAGCAGTAGGGAAAGGAAGGGGCGGGGCAATTACTTGCGGGTGTTCTCGTTCTTGAGCAGGGACTTGGCCTGCTGCTCGCTGATGATGGTGGCCTTCACCTGCGGGGGGTTCATGTGCACGTTCAGCTTCCCGCCCACCAGAAGGCGCACGGTGGCCGCAAACTTGGTCTGGGTCTTCAGGACCTGAGGGGGCTGCTTCTCGATGATGAACGTGCTGCGGGGACAGAGGGACCAGACAGGCCTGAGATGCTGCTCGGGGAGGGCTCCGGGTCCCTGGGGCAGAGAGGCTGCCTCCCACAGGCCCAGCAGGGGAGGGAGAGTCTGGGCATGGCCTCCAACCCAGGAGGCCACGAAAGTCGGGGAGACGCTGGGGAGGGAGAGTGGATACAGCAGCTGGCCTGGCTGAGGGCACCAGGGCAGCTCCTGCAGTGTGCGACAAAGCTGGCTCAGGGCGGTCCAGCGGCCCCAGCACCTGGACGGGGCCTGAGGCAAAGATATGAGGGCAGACGCGGAACCCCAAAACACTCGCTCCTCCCAGGTGCCCACCATGTTGAGCTGCCCCGCCCCCTGGGTGTGGCCAGGGCAGCGGTTACCTGGTCACCAGGGCAGAAATGATGTCTGTGATGGTGGCGTTGACCTCAGCCAGCATCTCCTCCACGGGACCGGGGATGGGCAGCTGCTGGCACAGGTGCTCGGCCCTGCGGATCTGCTGCCGGTTCTGCCAGATGATCTCGGCCAGCTTCTCGCACCTGCGGGGCCCAGGGACCAGGAGGACAACGACTTCCCACACCCTAGGCCAGAGTCTAACCGCAAGACCAGTTCCGCTCGCCTCTAGCAAGGCCTCGCCAGACAAGACTCTGGGTTCTTCCCACCTCCTGTCCCGGGTACAGAGCAGAGGCCCCACCTTCCAGAAGAATAGGAACACACATGGGGGAACCCCAACTCAGGCCCAACCAGCCTGGATGTCACTCTGCACACTCAGGCCCTACCCTATTCCCCAGGAGAGTGACTCCCTTCCTGGGGGAGGTGGCCACTCTGGGGATTGCAGTCTGAACCACGACCAGGCCCACTGGTGATATAAGAGCCGGCCCAGGCCAGGCACAGTGGCTCATGCCTATAATCCCAGCACTTTGGGAGGCTGAGGTAAGAGAATTGTTCGAGCCCATGGGTTTGAGACCAGCCTGGGCAACATGGCAAGACCTCATCTCTACAATAAATAAAAAAACTAGCCAGCCGTGGTGGTGCATGTCTGTAGTTGCAGCTGCAGCTACTTGGAAACAGAAGTGGAAGGATTGCCTGAGCACATCAGGCTGAGGCTGTGGTGGCCGTGAGCATGCCATTGCACTCCAGCCTGGGTGGCAGAGTGAGACTCCAACTCAAAAAAAAAAAAAGAGCTGGCCCAGGACAGAAAGTCCGCTGCACAGGCCCTGCCTGCCGCCCACGCCTTACCAGGACTGAAGCACGTCCAGGCTGCCCTCGGGGGGCCCGCCATTCCCTGCCAGTTGCTGCCGCCGCTTCCACTGGATCAGCTCATCGTCCAGGATGATGGTCTGCTGCTTTCGCAGCAGTTGCAAGGTCTTCTGGTGCTTCTCTGCCAGCTCCTGAGGGGGGCAGGAGGGTGGACCTGCTGGTCTCCAGCAACCCTGCAGGGCCGGTGGGCTGCTCCCTCCCCTGGCTGCTGAGACTCAAGATGGCCAGGAAGGCAGCCTCTGCCTCCTCTCCCAGGGCCTGTCTGGTCCCGGCTCCATCCCTGCCCCGCTGGCCCCAGGACTCAGGGAGTGGCTCACGCCTGGGGTGAGGACCCGGGACCCACTTACCACGCGGTACTGCTGCAGCGTCTGGGCCTCGCGCTGCAGCCAGGCCTCCAGGGCTACCTGCTTCTGCTGGAGGGCTGGTTCCCGACTCAGGCGCTCCTGGGGGCTCAGCTGGCCCAGCTGGGCCAACTGAGCTAGAGAGGACAGGGTACCACGACCGTCACCTCCAAATGCCCAGCAGAAGGCCCAGAGGAGTCACCCACTGTGCTGGGCAAAAGCTCAGGGAGAGATGGCCCGCCAAGGGCGTGTCAGGCTCGAACAGCCCGGGGTCAAGATGAACAGGTGCCCCAGAAGACAGCCTCTGGGCCCTGACCATGGGCCTCCTGCCTCTGAGCATCCCCTCAGGGGAGCCGGGTACGGGGTGCAGCTGAGGAGCCCGGCCTCCATCTCCTGCAGCCGGCCCCCACGAAGTGCCAGGCCCCTCTCAGCCCCGCATGGCACCAGGCTGCCCAGCGTAGAAGTGTGCCATGACCGTTACTAGCTGGTGAACCTGAGCAAGTCACTGTAGTCTCCCGTGCCTTGGTTTCCCCACGTGTAAGATGGGAGAATCCTGGCACCTGCCTGGGCGGGTTTCTGAACAGCGTAAACACATGACAACATGGGAAATACTCAGGAGGTGCCTGGCGTGGGTAAGCTCTGTGACGACGGGTCCTTAAAGGGGCACAGGACAGGAACAAAGGGTGACAGGAACGAGCTGCCGTCGGCCCCTCCCTCCCATGGCAGGGCCTCAGGAGCCTGTCGTGTTCATCCAGGTTGGGTCCTGGGAGCCCAGCCGACCAGTCAGGAGGACAGACAGACAGGAAAGACAGGGTCCCGGGCCCACTGGGGACACGGAACTGGCGAGACTGTTGTGGGAGGGAAGGCCGCCGCTCCCCACAGCAGCTCAGGAATCGCATCTTTGCAAGGCTGGGGTGAGCAGGCCTCGCTGGCTTTCCCAGCACTCGACACCTAAAAAACGGAAGGGGGCAACCCCTCGGGTCCCCTCCCACTGTGGTAGCTTTTCTGTCCTCTCAATAAATCCCGCTTAAAAAAACAAACAAAAAAAAAAAAAACAGGGAATGGGAGGGACACTGGGATGACTGGGTCCAGAGCCCACCTGAGAAGTCAAGCATCTCCACTGGTACAGCCACCTGCAGACCCTCTGCTGCCTGCAGACCCCACGATGACCAGCCCCGTGTGCCGGGATGATCCCTCCTTCCGGCACCTTCCCACACCCTGGGCCCAGCTCGGGCTGGGTCAGAAGGGCGTGCACACCAGCATGTCTCAGTCAAGTTCCTGGCTGGCTCCTGAGGTCACGTCTGCCTCATCCCATCCCATGGAACGCACACACTGGGACAGAAAAAAGCCACTCCAGATGGCCAGGAAAAACACCGAACCAGGATTGAGAATGACGCCTCCAACCTCATCGCGGGGGGACGAGCAGGAAGAGTGTCTTCCAGGATGGAACTGACCAGAGGGTTCTGCATGGCCACCTCGGGGGCCCTGGCCACCCACTGGGAGGGCAGGGATGAGACCTGCACCTGGCCCAGCCTCCCTGGGCCAGGGCCCGCCAGGTCGCTCCTGGAAACGTGCAGGAGCTTCTGAGAAGACCAAGAGGGCACGAGGCAGCTGCCCTGCTCCAGCGGAGGGAGCTGAGCCCGCCCCGCACACCCAGACCCGCATCTTTGCTTCTCAGGGTGCTGCGAGAAAGGAGATGGAAGAGACACCCAGGAGGGCACGAGCCCACCTGCATCCACATCGAGCCCATCACCGGGCCCAGGAAACAGAAAACCCAGGCACAGGGTCGGAAATACTGTCACCAGTCCCAGGACTTGGGTAGAAACAACAGCTTAAGTCTCCTGTTCCCACTCTCAGAAGGGGCTGCCCTCCTTCTTGGGTTCATCTGGGGTGGATTCAAAGGGGAGGAAGACATGCTGGAATCATCCTGCCCACATTTACTCAATACCTGTGATGTTTCAGGCATTGTGTTGGCCTTGGGTACAGAGATAAAATACAGCCCCTTCCCCAAGATATATAGTCCATTGGGGAAGATGGAGAGTAAATGCATAACTCATTCTGGTTATTAGATAGCACCTGTACGCGGGTATCAGAGGAGCTTGTACTGTGCATGCATGTGTGTTTGTATGGGTTGGTGGCGTCAAGGCTTTGCTGCGATTCTGAGCACTAAGGAGAGAGGGGAAGCCAGGTCAGTGCAAACTGCCAAGTTGCTACAGAGTCACCAGGGGGCGCTCCTGGGGCTCCCCAGTCTTAAGACTGACTGAAGTGTCTGCACCCCAAGAACCAAGCATGATTTATGCCAGGTATGAGAGCTGTGTCTGCAGGGGTTGACCGAGGTGCATGAGTGTGCTCTGTCCCAGGAGGACCCCCTGAATAACTCCACAGAATGTTAACAGTCAGTCACCACAAATACTGGCCTCTTGGCCCTTATACTGTCTCTGCTTAAAAAGGTCTCCCCACCCAACCTTAGAGATGGGGGTCTCACTCTGTTACCCAGGCTGGTCTCCAATTCCTGGCCTCAAGTGATCCTCCTGCTGCAGCCTCCTGAGTGGCTGGGATTATAGGCATGTACCACTGCTCCCGGTTTAGAGAGGTTTTCTTAGACATGTAGTTATATAACTTCTATATATCATTTAAAGCTACATTTATAAAATACTGCTGTATGCCAAAGTATTACAACTGTTGCAGTTTATTTAGACTGTGAGCTCCCAAAGGAGAAAGTATCTTCCCTGACAGCCCAGGAGTCCCTGGCGTGGGAGGCCTGAGTGGGACCCCACACTCCAGGGCAGGTGCTATATCTTCCCACATTTTCAAGTCTCGTCCTCCCAGCACTGACTTCCACGCAATGATTCCCTGCTACTCAGAGAAAGGTAGCTGCCTCGGCAGGAAAACCAGGTTCTCTTCTCATCAGACCCGAGCTGCCTGCCAGTCCTCACGCCCAGCAGACCACCCTGTCTGCCCTCACCTTGGATCCTCAGGCTCTCCTGGTACTGGATGATGAAGTACTCCTGGGTCTGCTGCAACTTCTTCAGCTCATTCTCCGTGTCCTGCGTGACCAGCCGCAGCTCCTCGAACGTCTGGTTGATCTGAAGGTGCTTCTGGGACATGGCGTCGGCCAGGTTTCCGGATGGAGAGCTGCCCTGGGGACAGATTGGGAGAGAGTGCAGGGCAGTGGGGAGGAGCCCGGACGTTAGTCCCTAGGGAAAAAGCTTCTAAGCTCCTACAACCGGGCTAAGACCCCAGAAGCTGAGTTGGAAGGAACACCAAATGTCATCTGTGAGAAATGAAATGTGGACAAGTGGAAACACGTGGCCTGATGGGTCACGGCACCTTCATAAAGTGCAGCAGAAACTTCTATCCCATGCCTGGCCTCTGCCAAAGTGCCCCAAACAGGGCCCATCAAATTCCCTCCAGGGAGACTAGAACTCAACCTGTTCTGAGAGTCACCTGGGCTTTTCTACTAGCAACGATGATCTTTCATTTGACCTCCATTCACCAACCCAATGCTGCAGACTATGCTCAGTGCTGAGGATGCAGCAGGGAGTGCCTATTGGGGATACCTCGCCTATGCTCTACTCAAAACCTTCCTATGATAGAATAATTGGCTTCCACCATGGAAGAAGTCAAACCTCTCACAGGGATCCTGAAGCCTCCCAGATGAAAAGTTATGGGGGTTAGCCGGGCTCGGTGGCTCAGCCTGTAATCCTGCACCTTTGGGAGGTTGAGGTGAGTGGATTGCCTGAACCCGTGGGTTTGAGACCCGCCTGGGCAGGCGAGACCTTATCTCTACAATAAAATAAAAAAATCAGCCGAGCATGGTAGTGCGCGCCTGTAATTCTGGCTACTCGGAAGGCTGAGGCGGAAGGATCGCTGGAGCCCGGCAGGTCGAGGCTGCAGTGGCCGGGAACGGCCCCCGAACTCCAGTCTGGGCGTCAGAGTAAGACTCCAACTCAAAAAAAAAAAAAAAAGTTATGGGGGTGGTCTTAACCAGGTCTCTGAGCTTCAGCCATGTAAGTGACCTGGTCTGCGTACTTCCACACCTGGCTCAGGGGCTACGTAGAAGTCTCTCCTGAGTCACCTCCCCTGAGTATGAGTGTGCCTACACAATGATTCAGCTGGGGTCACACGCACTCCCTGACACTGCTTTGTGGCTGTAATCTTGTCAAGGTCATAAATCATTTAAGATCAGAACCATGTCTTCTAATCATTTTGTGTCCCTTAGGACAATGCTTTCTTTAAAGAGACACCAATAATCCGGGTGGGGTGGCTCACACCTGTAATCCCAACACTTTGGGAGGCTGAGGTGGGAAAGTCAATTGAGCCCAAGATCAGCCTAGGCAATACATCGAGACCCCGTTGTTACAAAAAATAAAAAGATGAGCTGAGCGTGGTGGCATGTGTCTGTAGTCCCAGCTACTCAGGGGCTGAGATGGAAAGACTGCCTGAGCCCGGAAGGTCAAGGCTGCTGTGAGCCGTGATGATCGTGATCATGCCACTGCATACCAGCCTCGGTGACAGTGAGATCTTGACTAAAAAAATACATTAATTAATAAAGAGCCACCGACAGATGTACACTAAGTCCCCTTGACAAGGCAGGGTCCGGAGAGGGGTGGGTAAGAAAGGGCCTCCTGACTCCCCTCCCCGCTCCCACGGGACACTCACATTGTTGGCTTCTTGAACCAGCCTCTGTTCGTTGTACAAGATGTGGCGGATGCAGCGGACCAGCTCCATGGGGCAGCGGTTGTATGTGTTCTGTAAGAGGCCGAGAGCAGATATCCCTTCGTTCCATCTGCACCATGGGGCCTATCCCTGCCTCAGGACAGGGAGCCTCATGATGGAGACTCCTGGGGACACGAAGGCAGAATCACAGGATCCACTGCTCTTCCAACACCAGTGGGAACAGGAAAGCATATCAGAGACAACCAATTACAGAGAATGGCGAGAGAGTTTTATTTCTTGTATCTTAATTTTCCCAGAGACCTCGGGTAACATTCTTGGAGACAGGGTAAATATGTTTTACAAAGGCCACGCCAAGCCAGGCGTGGTGGCTCAGCCTGTAATTTCAGCACTTTGGGAGGCCGAGGCGAGAAGGTTGTCTGAGCCCGGGAGTTTGAGATCAGCCTGGGCAACTTGGTGAGACCTCATCTCTACAATAAATCACACACACAAAAATTAGGTGTGGTGGCGTATGTCTGTAGTTCCAGTTACTTGGAAGGCTGAGGCAGAAGGATTGTCTAAGACCAGCAGGTCGAGGCTAAGGTGGCTGTGAGTGTGCCACTGCACTCCAGCCTGGGTGACAGAGTGAGAGTCCAACTCAAAACAACAACAAAAACACAAAAACAAAGGCCATGCCAGAGGAGAAAGTGGACACAACCTGGCTGGCTGATCAAAATGACTGCCACTGAGGAGAAGATGAACACTGTGTGTCGCCGGATGTGACACCCTAAGGAAGATCAACGTCATAGTCATCCCTCGGTAATAGCGGGGGACCATTTCCAAGACCCCTTGGACACCAGAGTCCATGGGTGCCCAAGTCCCTTCTACACAATAGTGTCATTCTGTATCAAGCCTAGGTACATCCGCCCGTACGTGTTACATCATCTCTAGATTACAATACCTAACACAAAGTAAATGCTATGTAAATAGTCGTCGGGTTGTATTGTTTTTTTTTTGAGATGGAGTCTCACTCTGTCGACCAGGCTGGAGTACAGTGGCACGCTCACGGGCACCGCAGCCTCGACCTGCTGGGCTCCAGCGATCCTTCCGCCTCAGTCTTCCAAGTAGCTGGAACTACAGGTGCACGCTACCATGACTGGCTTATTTTTTCATTTATTGTAGAGACAAATTCTTACCAAGTTTCCCAGGCTGGTCTTGAATCCCTGAGCTCAAGTAATCCTCTCGCCTTGGCCTCCCAAAGTGCTGGGATTACAGGTTTGAGCCACTGTGCCCGATCTTGTATTGCTTTTTATTTATACTTTTGACTTGTTGATTGTTACTTTTTTTTTTTTTCCTGAATATTTCTGATCCCTGGTCAGTGGAATCCATGGGTGGGAACCATGGACAGGGAGGCCTGGATGCATCTAAAAGGCAGAGTGCAACATGAGCCTAGTCTTGAGGAAACATAAACCTCAAAGGAGGACTATCTTCTCTTGAAAAAGTAGGGGGCCTATGAGCTACTTTAAAACGTCAATGTAATGAAAGACAAAGTAAGACTGCAAAAATGGTTTTGGGATTGAAGGAGGGATGGCAGCGACATGCAACATATGACCGATGACTGGACTCTGGACTGAGGGGAAATGGCCCTGAAGGTCACTATGGAGGCAGTTGACAAGATGGAAACGCAGGAGAGTATCTGAAAGCATCATGTCAACGGTCATCTACTGAAGCTGATAATGTACAAAACCACTCAAGAAAAAGTTCACATTCTTAGAAAATGCATGCTGAGGTCTTTGGGGCGCAGGGGCATGCCATATAAAACTTACTCTTGAATGAAAAATGTGTGTGCATGTTTGCCATGTGTAAGTGTGTGAATGTACGTCTGCATGTGTGTGCGTGTATGTGTGCGTGTGGAGAGAGAGAGCAAGGAGAGTTCCACAAAGCAAGTGTCAGCAACAGGGGAACCTGGGCATCTGTGAGGACTGTATCACCCGTGCAAGTTTCGAGAAGTTTGAAATGACTTTCTAATGCAAAGTTTAAAAAAGACCACCACCAAGCAGTAAGCCCCTCACACCTGAGTGAAACTCGGTAGTGCTGGGCTGAAGGAGAGAAAGGCATCTTGCAGGAAGCCTGAGTGGGGGTTGCCCGGGAAGGGGCTGGCAGCCCAGGCCACACCCACCTGCAGCTGCTTGGCGTAGTGCCCCAGCTTGATCTTCAGCAGAAACCCATCTTCCCCCACCTGATGCTCCGCCTTCTTCTGCAGCTCCTGCACCAGGCCCTCCAGGAGCTGGGTGGCCTTAATGTTCTCCTGTGGATTATCAAGATCTATTGAGTCCCTAGGGGAAAAAAATTACACAATCTGTATACACATATGCATGTGAGCCGGGGGAAACGCAGCCTCCGCATACCACACTGTTTCTTTGACCAAAGCACTTTCTTTTTTATTTATTTTTGAGTTGGAGTCTCACTCTGTTGCCCAGGCTGGAGTGCAATGGCACACTCACGGCCTCTATGGCCTTGACCTGCTTAGGTGATCTTTCCACCTCAGCCTGCCAAGTAATTGGAACCACAGTCTGTGCTACCACACCTGGCTACTTTTTTGATTTATTGTAGTGATGAGGTTTTCCCAAGTTGCCCAGGCTGGTCTCAAACCCTGAGCTCAGATAATTCTCTCACTTCCACCTTCCAAAGTGCTGGGATTAGAGGTGTGAGCCACCATGCCTGGCTAAAGTGCTTTCTTTTTTTTTTTTGAGTTGGAGTCTCACTCTGTCGCCCAGACTGGAGTGCAGTGGCCACTCCCGGCCACCGCAGCCTCGACCCGCTGGGATCTGGTGATCCTTCCGCCTCAGCCTTCGAAGCAGCTGGAACTACAGGTGCGCGCTACCAGGCGCGGCTAATTTTTGATTTATTGTAGAGATGAGGTCTTCCCAAGTTGCCCAGGCAGGTCTCGAACCCGCGGGCTCAGGCAATCCACTCACCTCAGCCTCCCACAGGCGCGGGATTACAGGCTGAGCCACGGAGCCCGGCTCAAAGTGCTTTCTTTTTAACGCACACTGCAAATTTTAAGAAAGCCTGACAGCCATGGACTAAATGCCTGCATTCATCGATCCATAAACTCCTTGCCTTATCTGGATTGCACAGTCTCTTTTCATTTCTGGCTTTTTGCTTTTTAAACAACGTCCTGGCCAGGCACTGTGGCTTAACCCTGTAATCCCAGTGCTTTGGGAGGCCGAGGTGAGGGGATTGCCTGAGTCCATGGGTTCGAGAACAGCCTGGGCAACTTGGCGAGATCTCCTTTCTATAATAAATCAAAAAACTAGCCAGGTGTGGTAGTGCACGCCTGTAGTTCTGGCTATCTGGAAGGCTGAGGTGGAAGGATTGCCTGGGTCTAAAAGGTCGAGGCTGCGGTGGCCGTGAGCGTGCCACTGCACTTCAACCTGGGCGACAGAGTAAGATTCTAACTCAAAAAAACAAAAACAAAAAAACCGGGAGAAAGTGCCTTCAAAAATCTGTACAAGTCAGACACTTACATCACTGGTTGCAGATCTGGGGTCTGCAGGCCATGCCAATCTTCCTAGCGAACAAGAGAAGCCACTCTACAGACCTATATCAATACAGAGCCATGGAACTGGGGCCAGAGGCTGGACACTCTCCCTCCCTTCCTCCTTTCTTTCCTTCTTCCTTCCTTTTTTCCCACAACACAGGCAACGATGGACACTTGGAGGTATTCAATTCCTTCGCTCACTGAAGAAACCAAACAGCTGTCAGGCTGAAACAGCATTCAGTGACTGCTAAGCGGGTCTGCAGCCAAGCAAGACAGTGGGAGCTAAGAGCTCTATCACCCCTAAACGCTGGCAGTTAGTCAGCAACTGAGCTCAGTGCAAGGTACAAACAGGGGTACCCAAACACGGTTGCCGTGCTTCATCAGAGAGGACCCCCAAGCCTGCACCCTGAGAAGGCAGGAATGCGAGTCAGCTCTGTATATGTATGCTCCAGGCATGAAATCAGAGCCAGGAGGGAGCGTGGACAGCCCCCCGTCCCCCACCCACCTGCAGTGTTCCTGGTTTGGGGAACCCACTAGGAGAGGGTCCTGTCTTGGCAAGACTCTTGGTCAAGTACTGGCTCTGCACTTGACACCATAATCCTCTTAGTGAACAATCAAGAACTGAATATTTTATAAATGAAAGTCTGTATATTCTGAAGAAAACCAAAACTAAATAAAATCCTGGTTTTCCTTAATATCAACACAAGCCTTTTAACTCTCATTTAGTAAGAAGATGGCATGGGAAATCCACAAGGTGAAATTCTGTATGAACATAAACTTCCTACTAATGTTCTGAATCCTCCAAATCAGAAAGACAGAAAAGAGGATGAAGAGGGAGCGGAAGGCAGTGAAGAGGACACAGACAGCCGTCTCCACTTTAGTCCTTTCTTTCTCCCTTAATTACATAGAGCTGAGATGTTTCTAATTGCCCAGAAGATTGCCTTTCCTCGGCACTCTCTGGTTTCTGAACAGAAATCTAACACGAGATTGCAGTTATTCTAGAGCAACGTCAAGAATGGACAGATGGCCCTTGCCAAATGGAGGACAGCGAGGCTGAATTCTCCTGGGAGGGGAGTCAAAGAGGAAGCCTAAGTGGGGAGGAGGAGGTTGTCAAAAAGGAGGCCTGGGGAGCGGAGGTTCAAATAGCCAGTGAACATGTCTGGTCAGTGGCCACTGCGGTCAAATCCAAACTCCCAGGCCCGAGCTGCGCCTGACCTGCTGCCTGGGTGGAACCAGAGTATCAATGAAGAAGCGGTGTGTCCGCCGCCTACACTGTACTGTTTCTAAGAGGCATGGAAACACCTCCACCTCCTCCCAGTAGGTAATCAGTAACTTGGAAAATAAATAAAAATTAAAATGCTAGTTAAGTCTACCACCAACATGTAATTATTAATATTCTGGTGCGTTTTCTTTTAGTCTTTATATGTACATATAAAATAAACATAAATTTTAAAATAGGCCAGGTGTGGTGGCTCATGCCTATAGTCCCAGCACTTTGGGAGGCTGAGGCGAGAGGTTTGCCTGAGCCTGAGGGTTCGAGACCAGCCTGGGCAACTTGGTGAGACCTCATCTCTACAATAAATCAAAAAATTAGCCAGGCGTGGTGGCGCATGCCTATAGTGCCAACTATTGGGAAGGCTGAGGCAGAAGGATCACCTAAGCCCAGCAAGTCGAAGCTGCAGAGACCCTGAGCATGCCACTGCAATCTAGCCTGGGTGACAGGGTGAGAACTCCAACTCAAAAAAAAAATTTTTTTTTTAAATACCAGGCTGGGCACAGTGGCTCATACCTGTAATCCCAGCACTTTGGAAGGTCCAATTGAGAGGATTGTTTGAGCCCAGGAGTTCAACATCAACTTGGGCAACATAGTGAGACATGGTCTCTACAAAAAAATTAAAAGATTAGCCAGGTGTGGTAGCACACACCTGTAGTCCCAACTACTCAGGAGGCTAAGGTGGAAGAATTGCCTAAGCACAGGAGGCTGAGGCTATGGTGAGCTGTGATAGTGCCACTGCACTCCAGTCTGGGTGACAGAGTGAAACCCTGACTCAAAAACAAAAGCAAAAAGACACAACCAATGTCTCTACCATGAAATTATTTATTATTAAATATTAATTTTGTTAGATGCAAACTTGTTAAATGTAAGATAGTTTAAATTTAATAGAAGATCACCAGGTGAGGTGGCTCATGCCTGAAATCCCAACATTTTGGGAGGTGGAGGCGAGAGGATTGCCTGAGTCCAGGGTTTCAAGACCAGCCTGGGCAACTTGGCGAGACCTCATCTCTACAATAAATTAAAAAAATCAGCTGAGTATGGTAGTGTGCACCCTGTGGTTCCAGCTACTTAGAAGGCTGAAGTGGAAGGATTGCCTGAGCCCACCAGGTCGAGGCTGCAGTGGCTGTGAGCATGCCACTGCACTCCAGCCCGGGTGACAGAGTAAGTCTCTAATTCAAAAAAAAAGAAAAAAAGCTCACTGCAGTCTTCACCTCCTGGGCTCAGGTGATCCTTTCACTTCTGCCTCCCAAGTAGCTGGGACCATAAGCTAATTTTTTAAATTTTTTGAAGTGACAAAGTCTCACTATGTTGTCCAAGCTGGTCTTGAACTCCTGGGCTCAAGCAATCCTCCCACCTGGGCCTCCCAAAGTGCTGGGATGACAGGTGTGAGCCACCACACCCAGTCTACTTTTCATTAGCAGCAAGATTCAAATGCTTTTAGCCAGTGTTTACCACTCAACAGTACAAATCCTGCTTTAATAATCACAAGAGCTACTCCATCTCCTTGAATCTAAGATGGGGTTACATTACCTTTTCATGGACCATTTTTCTTTCTTTCTTTTTTTTTTTTTTGAGTTGGAGTCTCACTCTGTCACCCAGACTGGAGTGCAGTGGCCACTCCCGGCCACCGCAGCCTCGACCTGCTGGGCTCCAGTGATCCTTCCGTCTCAGCCTTCCGAGTAGCCGGAATTACAGGCGCGCGCTACCACGCCCGGCTGATTTTTTAATTTATTGTCGAGATGAGGTCTCGCTGCCCAGGCGGGTTTCGAACCCGCGGGCTCAGGCAATCCATTCACCTCAGCCTCCCAAAGGCGTGGGATTACAGGCTGAGCCACCGAGCCCGGCCCATTTTTCTTTTTTGAGTCAGAGTCTCACTTTGTCTCCCAGGCTGGAGTGCAGTGGCACACTCACAGCCACCGCAGCCTGGATCTGTTAGGTTCAGGCAATTCTTCCGCCTCAGCCTTCCAAGTAGCTGGAACCACAGATATATACCACCACACTCAGCTAACTTTTTGATTTACTGTAGAGATGAGGTCTCGCCATGTTGCCCAGGCTGGTCTCGAACTCCTGAGCTCAGGCAATTCTCTTGCCTCTTCCTCCCAAAGTGCTGATAGGCGGGAGCCATCACGCCCGGCCTATGTAAACATTTTTTTTTTTTGAGTTGGAGTCTCATTCTGTCACCCAGACTGGAGTGCAGTGGCCGCTTCCGGCCACCGCAGCCCCGACCTACTGGGCTCCGGCGATCCTTCCGCCTCAGCCTTCCAAGTAGCCGGAATTACAGGCATGCGCTACCACGCCCGGCTGATTTTTTGATTTATTGTAGAGATGAGGTCTTGCTGCCCAAGCAGGTCTCAAACCCACGGGCTCAGAAAATCCACTCACCTCAGCCTCCCAAAGGCGTGGGATTACAGGCTGAGCCACCGAGCTCGGCTGTAAACATTTTTTAAAAACAGCTTTGCAAGTCACTATCACGATATCTTTCTAATCAAACTGCAAGATTCTTGCACTTCACAAAACAGGATGCAGCGAAGATCTCTGTCGACCTACCAGGCTTGGCTCTCGATCCACTGGGACAGGTAGTGCCGCACCTCGATGGGAAAGTGCTGGCCGTACAGCGCCTGCATCTGGTGAAGGGCTTCTCCCTGGAGTTGCTGGGCCTGGATCCACACAGCCATGGCTCTCACCTGCCAGACAAACAACCGACGGTGGGGGCTCTTTCCTCAACCCCTTTGAAAGCCACACAGCCATACACTTTTAGCCCTTTGGTAGACCAAAGAATTCTTGACTTTTAGCTTCAAAATGTATTAAAGTTTGGCACGGAGGCTCATGCCTGTCATCTCAGCACTTTGGGAGGCAGAGGCAAAAGGATGGCCTGAGCCTACAAGTTTGAGACCAGCCCTGGGAACTTGGCAAGACCTCGTCTCTACAGTATATCAAAAAAGTAGCCAGGCGTGATAGCGCATGCCTGTGGTCTCAGCTACTTAGAAGGCTGAGGCAGAAGGATCGCCTGAACCCAGGCTGCAGTGGCTGTGAGTGTGCTGCTGCCCTCCAGCCTGGGTAACAGAGTGAGACTCTGACTCAAAAAAAACAAAAACAAACACAAAGAAATACAATAAATGTCCTGCCGTTGTTAAAGAGCTTGGAAAAAGAAGTTACATTATCCAAAGCACGAACTGAGCCCTAGGATCACGAATTGCCTAAGCAGCGATGCACACACAGAGCACAGATTCATCTGGAAAAATGCCCCAAGGTCCTCCTTCTGAGTTACCACTAAGGAATTTATGAAGCAATGTTCAGCTAAACTGTAGCAGTTAAAAATCTTTCAGATACTAAAACAACACATTCCAACTAAGAGTTAGAAACAAGAGCCACGCGATACTCCAGGAGTGGGTAGGTTTTTTAAAAGCCTGCTCTTGATTTCAGAAAAACAATTGCATAAAACAACCACGATGCCTCCTCAGACTCACCAGACAATTTCTAGCTCATGTGCTGGGCCTCTAGGAGTTAGCCAGCTTGGGGCAGCAATGTTGCTTCATGTGTTTGCAGGGTCTAGCCCAAATCTGGCTCTAATGCCGTGTCCCGTGAAGCACCGTTTGGCTATCTTGCATCCATCCCACATGAAGAGGCTGCTGATTTGCACAACTGTCCTACGAGGCTGATTATGGTGGGGGCCAGGGACCTGGACTGGATTCTGTTTACTAGCAGGGATGACACACATGTGTTGGGAAATGCAAATCCCTCCTCCGAGGTTGTAGTGGCTCATCACGTCACATTGAACTATTTATGGGTTGAGTCCGTGAGGCAACCGTGGGGGGGTGGGGGACAGTTACCTATTTTAAACTTGCGCAATGCCACAGAACACTTGAGCAGGGCACGATTTATTTAGGGCTTTTAGGTGTTAAGGCTGAGATCCCTATAAGATCACCCAAGACATCAAATTTCAGTGGCCATGAGTTCACCAGAAGACAGACTGGGTGAGAGAGCTCTCTCCAGAAGCGATTCTACGTTAGAATCAAACAGCTGGAAGACATTTAATTGCACAATATATTTTTTAATCAAATGAGTCATATCCCAAGATTTTGGAAAATCAGAACAGATAACAAATCATGATTTTTGGATGAAGAATAAAGGGGTGGATGGAGAAAGGTGCTTAGACACTTGGTACATCATGGGAGGATGATAGCAGAGTGAAGACTGGGTATTTATCTTCCTTTTTTCTTTTTCTTTTTTTTTTTTTTTTTTTTTGAGCCAGGGTCTCACTCTGTCTCCCAGGCTGGAGTGCAGTGGCATGCTCACGGCCACAGCAGACTTGACCTGCTGGGCTCACGCGATCTTTCTGCCTCAGCCTTCCAAGTAGCCGGAACCACAGACGTGTGCCACCATGCCCAGCTTTTTGATTTATTGTAGAGACAAGGGCTCACCAAGTTGTCTAGGCTGGTCTCGAACCCCTGGGCTCAGGCAATCCTCTCGCCTCAACCTCCTAAAGTGCTAGGATTACAAGCTTGAGCACTGTGTCAGCCCCCTCTTACTCTGTCTTGGTGAGTCCTCTCTCCACAATAAATAAAAAAATTAGCCTGGCATGGTGGCGCATGTCTGTGGTTCCAGCTACTTGGAAGGCTAAGGCAGAAGGATCACCTGAGCCCAGCAGGTCGAGGCTGCAGTGGCCATGGGCGTGTCACTGCACTCCAACCTGGGGAGACTCCAAAAGGAAAGAAAGAAAAGAAAAGAAAGACTACGCCCGGGAGCGGTGGCTCATGGCTATAATCCCAGAACTTTGGGAGGCCAAGGCAAGAGAATTGCTTGAGTTCAGGAGCACAAGACCAGCCTGGGCAACAAGGTGAGACCTCGTCTCTACAAGAAATAAAAAATAAATTAGACAGGTGTGGCGGCATGTGTCTATAGTCCTGGCTACTTCGAGGCTAAGGCAGGAGGATCGCCTGAGCCCAGGAGGTCAAGGGTGTGGTAAGCTGGGCTCGTGCCACTGCACTCCAGCCTGAGTGACAGAGTGAGACTCCAGCTAAAATAAATAAATAAATAAAGAAGGAAGGAAGGAAGGATAGTCTATGATGATATGCAATGCATACTGTAGTATATGAAAATGTTACACTATTTTGCCTAAAGTTTTATATAATTTATTAATTAATAGAAGCTAAGCTCTTAGAATTTGTCAGAATATTTTTATGACTCTAGCTATGAACATGTCATAATCATTATTTTCTAAATGCAGGCCATTTGAAGAAAATAGCTTATAAATAGAGGTACAATCACCTTATTTTGATAAATACAATCCATAAATATAATATTTTTTCACTGCACATAAGTGCTCTGTAGAGCTGGAAAGATTTTGCTCACTGGTATAGAAAAGTGTAAAAGTACACAAAATAGTACAGAATCCTTTTAATTTAATTTTTTTTTTGAGTTGGAGACTCACTCTGTCGCACAGACTGGAGTGCAGCTGCTCCCAGCCACCACAGCCTCGACCTGCTGGGCTCCGGCAATCCTTCCGCCTCAGCCTTCCGAGTAGCCGGAAATATAGGCGTGCGCTACCATGCCCAGCTAATTTTAAAATTTTATTGTAGAGATGAGGTCTCGCCTGCCCAGGCGGGTCTCGAACCCGCGGGCTCAGGCAATCCACTCACCTCAGCCTCCCAAAGGCGCAGGATTACAGGCTGAGCCACGGAGCCCGACTTAATTTAATTTTTAAAAAATAGAGACGGGGTCTTGTGGTGCTGCCCAGACTAGTCTCGAACTCCTGGGCTCAAATGATGCTCCCGCCTTGGCCTCCCAAAGTGCTGGGATTACAGGTGTGGGCTACCGCGACCATTCATTCATTCATTCAATCATTCATTTACTTATTGAGTCAGAGTTTCACTCTGTCGATTATTTATTTATTTACTGAGTCGGAGTCTCACTCTGTAACCAAGGCTGGAGGGCAGTGGCACGTTCACAGTCATTACAGCCTCCAACTGCTGGGCTCAGGCAATCCTTCTGCCTCAGCCTTCCAAATAACGGGAACTAAAGGCGTGTGCTTCCTCACCAGGCTAATTTTTTGATTTATTATAGAGACGAGGTCTTGTCAAGTTGCCCAGGCTGGTCTTGTACCCTTGGACTCAGGCAATCCTCTTTCTTCCACCTCCCAAAGTACTGTGATTTATAGCCATAAGCTTTTGCGCCTACCTATTTTCTATTTTTTTACTTTCTCTTTTGAGAAATATTTTACTCTTAGACTGAGAATTACATACACATATGAGATGACACTGAAATTACCACTGTAAATTTTTTTTAGTTTTTATTATTTTTATTTATTTATTTTTTGAGTTGGAGTCTCACTCTGTCGCCCAGGCTGGAGTGCCATGCACACTCATGGCCACTCCAGTGTCGACTTCCTAGGCTCCGGCAATCCTTCCGCCTCACCCTTCTAAATAGCCAGAACTACAGGCACACGCTACCACACCTGGCTAATTTTTTTTAACTTAATTTATTTGTAATAGGTGAAATATCCATATAGTTGATCAAAAGAAATACAATACTGCAAAGTTAGTTTTCTCCAGCCCCCTACATAACCACTTTTATTAGCTTCTTGTTTACTGTAAACGTTTAAATACCCAGTTGAGAAAAACAAAACAAAACAACTCCCTCCCCTAGTTATATGAATAAAATCTACAATCTTTTTTTTTTTTTTTTTTGAGTCGGAGTCTCACTGTCACCTCAGCTGGATTGCAGTGGCATGCTCAACGGCCACTGTGCTTAGGCGATCCTACCACCTCAGTCTTCCAAGTAGCTGGAGCTACAGGTGCGTGCCACCATGCCTGGTTAATTTTTTGATTTATTGTAGAGATGACGTCTCTCCAAATTGCCCAGGCTGGTCTCAAACAGGCAATCCTCTCACCTCCACCACCCAAAGTGCTGGATGACAGGTGTGAGCCACTGTGCCCAGCAAAACCTATCATCTAAGGAGAGTTTTTCTTCATGTACGTTAGAACTCTTCACCCATCACTAGGCTGTGCCCATGAGTGGACTCCCTGTCCCTCCTCACCGGTATTCACCCAGTAGTCAAGTGCTACTCTGCATATGCTCATTGACAGCATCTGTACCCCCCCTGCACATGCACAGGCAGCTGGTTTTCTGTGCCTAATGCTCTCACTGGGGAAGTGGTTTGCTCTTTGGTAAATCATCACAGGGGATTCGCTAAATACTGGGAAAGGGATTCACAATCTTATTTTTAGGCCAAAGACTAGAAGCACTTGAGCTGGCTTAGCCACACTCCCAGTGTTCATAACCACTCCAGAATACCCTGGGCCAGTCTTGGATGCAGAATGTTTACTCATGGAAGCATAAAGTATGGACTTGACCTTATGTATCTGGAAGTATCCAAGGGCTAGGAGTGCCCTCAAAATCAGGCCCTCAGGCCCTGGTTAATAAGTTTCAGCATCTAATAGCTCACAACATGACAGGCTTACTAGAAGTCCTAAAAAACCAATGTCCATGATGCAAAGAAATACGAGTGAGTGGGATGTAGAGATACTTTTCTCTCAGTAACAAAAGTCTTTTTCTCATTTTTCCTTTCTAAAAGTAAAATATAAACTCTTACAAAGAAAATCACCATTCTCTGAAAAATTCTAGAACCCTCTGGCTGAGGTCTTGCCATAGGTAACATGAGGTAGAAAGCACCAGAAGAG